AAGGGACTTGCCAAGCTCGTTACCAAGTGGCTGAGTTATCAAATCCATCGGGTGCAGAAGTTTTCTCCGCTCATTCTTGCTGCTTACCCTCAAGCCATGCATCTTGTTTTCCTTTTTACTGGGCATTTTTAGTATTTGTCAGTCGTGCTGCCCAAACAAGCCATAGTCACGCCCCAGCAGGCTGACTTTTAGCGATGAAAGATAGCAGCGTCCACTCCTTTAATGCAGGGCAGCTAGCTACTGCCAGATTGTTCGCCTGAGAGCGCTTTGGTATGAGCTACTCGTAGGAATCGTAGGTGTGTGCTTGCACAGCGGGTGCAGTGTGTAGGGCTGTCCACTGGCTCAAGGCGCTTGATTTGGCCTCTTGCTGCGGTAGTCTCAGCATTCGAGTATGTGCCCACGCACAAGAGCAGGGTTTGGTGTGCTTGCCAGGAAAGGTGCTGAGCCGCAAAGGCGGAGGGGAAAAGCACAAAGACGAGCCACGCCACAGCGGCCGTTTTGAAAAGAAAAAAGCAAAAAGAAGCGTCAGCGACAGGATTTGAACCTGTGCGGCGAATCGCCAACAGATTTCGAGTCTGTCCCCTTAACCACTCGGGCACACTGACCATTTTCCCGGCGTCGATGCAACCCACAACGCCAGCTCTGTGCCACGTGAAAAACTAATCGTACACGACATCACCAACTCCACCTACCTTTGTTGTGCTGCAAGCGGGTTCGCCGGTGCAGTCTTGGGATCGGAGGGGTCCATTGGGGTCATAGGGTCAGGTGCAAATGCTATTTAGTGGTAAAAGATACTGCGTTAAGCAGATGATAGGTTGATCTCCTGTTGGGTGGTCTGCTCCTTCCTCCGACCCTGAGGCCCCAAATCGCTTTTATACTCGTCCCGCTCTTCATCCAGCAGTACTCTCGTTATCGTTGCTGCCATAACACTAATGATCCATCAACGACTGCAGATGTCTAGTGTAGCCGCTGCTCACTGTCAGCAGAGCAAGATACAAGGACATTCATAGCAACGTTACCGCCACTTACTTCCACACACAGCGACATCTCAAGCAATCTCTCCCACAGATTTCCATGGAGACACGACCTGACAAAGCCATGGAGTCTGGATGGATGCCAGTTGCGGCATGGCACCGTTTCAAATTGAAACACTACAAATAATTGATGCAACGTAGTGTCTGGGATATTTGATGCTATATGTATATATTCATGTATGTACTCTAACAGAACTGGTGAATGAAATGAGTATCGGTATGTCGTATGAAGGTGTTAAACCTTTTTGAACACCGACTTGCAAGCGGCAAACCGCAGACAGGTAAAGAACAAGAAGGCACCCATCATGAAGACACCAGAGAAAGCAATAGTTGGTTTAAAGTTGTGCCCATGGCCGACGTTATCCAAAATGGCACTGGACGATGGCGCACCAACCATGGTACCGATGAAGTTAGCAATGTAAAGCAAACCGATGATGGTGGCAATGCGGCTGACACCCCAGAGTTCAGCCAAAATAACCGGCAAAAGACTGATAAAGCCACCGCAGAAGAGGCCGTAGATAATAGCACACGCCACAAGAGTGCCTGTGGTATGGAACGGAAGCCACAAGATGAGAATGCTTAGAGAAGCGACGAGGGTGCATGTGGCCAGCGTGTTGATGTTTCCGAATTGCATGGCGACCTGGCCAGTGATGATGCGACCCAAGGTGGAAGCAGCATTGATGATGGTGACAAGATTAGTGCCGAACGAGTTGTTCTTGCCGACAATTTGGATGGCAAACGAGGGCATGCTGAAGAACGGAGTAAAGTAGGCGGTGGTGCCGCATATGCCACCAGCGAAGATAAAGAGGAAGCGGATGTCGCGGAACACGCTGAAATCAACGATCTTGTCGCGCCCACGCACCTTCAGTCGGTTACGCATGAACAGGCTGGCGACAGAGTTGACTGCAATGATAACGATTCCAGTGATACGCAGTGCCCAAGCTGTGCCCAGACTCGAAATCATGTGGTCGGTGGCGGGAGTCAGCCAAAGTCCGCCGATACCGCTGCCGGCGACGACAACACCAATGGCCAGAGCGCGATACTTGACGAACCATTGCGATGGAATAGATGTAGCGGGAATGAACACCAAAGACGCACCGATGGAAAAGACAATTCCCTGTGTGACCAGAAGTTTCCACACTGCGCTATCACAAAACGAGGCAATAATCAGTGCAATGCCCATTATGAGGCCACCGCTGAAAGTAACCAGTCGGCTGTCCATCCGTTCGCAAAGGATACCTGCAGGGATACCAACAAAATTCATGACAGCGAATTGCAATGTGCCGATCCAGGAGAGTGTCGACATGGGTTCCTTGGGGAACTGGTTCATATGGTAATAGGTCTGGTATGAGCCGTAGCTGTTGACGCAACCCATGGAGAACATCAGCATGAAGGAGCCGGCAATAGCAACGATCCACCCGCGGGCGCTGTCAACGGGCTGGTCCTCCAGCGATTTGCTCTCCCACCAACGCGGCTCACTGTCGGATGCCTCGGATGAGGGAGAGGAGGGGCGGATGTCGCCCCCGCTTTCCTCTTGTTCGTAATCAGCCTTTTCGCTGGCCATCGATGTTCTGCTTTCCAAGCCCCTCATTGTGGCATCGTTGAGTGAAGCTGTGGCGTCACTATTGTTTTTGATATGCGACATCGCTGACTTCAAACTGTGTATACCCTGAATGAGAGAGAAAAAAGCGGGTATAGATATTAACGGTGAACCAGCCAAAAATGCCAGTGCGAAATTGAGCGTGTACTAAGGGGGACTAGCGGTCGGAATAAATGAGAGGGAAGGGGTGAGTCGTTGGGGACTCAAGTCAGAGATGTGTGCTTAGATGCAGGAGAATCGTGGCTTCCTTATATTTAACCACATCAACTGGTATCTTGAGTCGGAAAAACAAGAGTACAGCGGCCAATTCGAGATTTGTTTCTTTTACTCTTTAAAGCGTTTCCTCGGTAATTCCTTGTTTCACACGCACTCCTTGAGCAGAGCCGGGATGGAACAAAAAAGGGCTCTTGCAGTCTCAGCTTTGCGCTTGGGACGTTTTTTGTTGAGCAAAGTCCGTCTCTCTGCTTTTCCGTTCGCTTTTGGCTGTATTTTCTGACACAGCCTGCCCCAACCCAACACAGGGCGTTTGGTGTTTTTTTTTTTGCAGAGGGGATTTGCAAACTCCGTGTATCAAATGAGGTTCTTCGGGCGTAGGCTGTGGGCAAAAGCGAAAAGTTGCAAAAACAATTTACACAATTATTTCCCCAAATGACCTTGAGGGGATTAGCGTAGCCCATATGAAACGTAGCAAAAAATTCTGTTCGGACCTCGGACTACGGACTAAAGCGCAGATACATTTTGCTCTTGTGTCCGCATGCCTTTTGGTTCAAAAACAGTGCACTTGCGTGGGTCATATGGTTTTTCGCTGAGGTGTTTTTCGCTTGGCGCCAGAGACAGGTCTCCGACCTATCCTGATGGCATCTGGTACTGTGTCTAATTACTGGTGTTATTTCTAATGGGCGTCCGCAGTGCTGAATTTCGCTCCCAAAAGCACCAATGCCTTCATCTTTTCGGTGCCTGCTCATAGAGAGGGGCTGTGGGCCTCGATGGAATTCACAAGAGCACGTTTATATCTCGCACGTATTAATAGTCGGCATTTGCGTTGGCATTCAAACATTATCACAATCCCGTATGTCCGCAGCACCAGAGTCACGCTTCATTCACTGCGAAAAGCCATACTCAATTATAGACATAAACACGCAAGCAAGCGCGTTTGCACTGCTTATCCCCATCGTGTTTCAATGTGAGATTGCCACTTGAGTGACAGAATAGAACGCAGTGCCACAGCTGATTCATTGACAGAATAGAACGCAGTGCCACAGCTGATTCATTAAAGCCGTATGGTGACTGTGAAAAAAAGCAGCCTGCCGCAAGGAGACCGAGAATCTCAACAGATCACCAGCCCCCATCCCACACGGTGCTCAATTCCTCTCAGCCACTCATCAGCCGTAGGATGCCGCTGCCACAGAGTCCAGAGATCGCTCTCCGCTGTATAGCTTAGGGCTGCGCTCAGTCTTGTCAGTGATCAATCCGCTATCTTGCATTTCCTCAGCTTGTCCGATAGCCGCACCGAGTGTTCTCCATCGTGCATAGCAATACAAACCGCAAGTTCCGTTGACGCTGATTTCATGCAATAGCAGCAGTTGTACAGTGCTCAAAGCACCTCCAAACACTTTTCCGCAAGCATAAAGCGCCCCTTGACTGAATGTTGCC